GAAATATCTCTCCTCTCTCTCTCTTTATGTTCCAAAAGGTTGTACTATGTACTTTGGTTATAGACCTAAAAAACTAAGGCAAATAAACACAACAAAATTTTCAAATCGTCAGTTACGTGCTGACCAAAATCTATTTATTTATAAGTCCGTTTCGTACTAGAGAATTAGTATTAGTTCTTACACTCTGTATAGGCGTATCCTGAAACACAATTTTATTCATTAGTATTTACTATATATACAATACAGGATCACAATTTACAGTTTTATTTTATAACTTCAGTGTAAAACTTGTCGAAAAGACATACTGACAATGAAATAACCCAAGGTATATGAAGATATAACTTCAATCATGCCTCTTAGTAATATAAGGTCCAGAAGGGTTAAGTATTAGTGCACTTAATACCTTAAACAGAAATAAATGCATGAGATATACATCTCTATTATTTTCTTGAAAGAATCTTAAGGGATAATTGCAACTTGGTTGTATAACTACTTTAAGTAATGAATAGTTTGGTGGCTACTTATCTTGCACACAGTACTTATTCCACCACGTCGAGAGGCTAAATATGCTTCCAACTCTTGGGATTATTTTGCGACACACACTATTATTTACGCGAAACAATCCAACATATTCAGGCTCCGGTATTTCAAAAACAACTTGCATTTCCTGAAGAGTCTCACTTCGCCGACGATATGAAAACCTTCCTAAAACACGTGCATGCTCCAAAAAGTTTTCAGAAAGGCCTAAATCTCCCATTTTTCATTAATTTAATAAAAATATAAACTAGATGAACTGTGAAATGTTGCCTTCGAGTAACATCTGACAAATCTGCTTATTTGACGTATAGGAATTCACTCTTTGCAAACCATTTTACGAATTTCCATTCAAAAGTGTCATATTAGATGAATTGCAAATATGAAACATTTTCAGTTCATATTATGAATCACCAAAATGTTGTCTTTTTATGACATGACATATGTCACATATTATGATTCAGATATGAAACATACAATGTTACCTTTTTAGCCCCCCTGATGCTCGAGCTAGAGCCCCGGGAACCCGTTTCAGACTGCACATTTTAGAGCCCTTTTTTGAGGAGGGAAAATTTTCCAATGACTTCTTCCGCCTTGGGTTAGGCGAGAGGGAGTGTCAGACTCTTACTGACTAAAAGCCATTCCGTTCCTACTCCTGCTCTTCGAGCCGGAGCCCCGGCAACCCGTTAGGCCTTCCGCGGCTCCGTATCGGGCATCAGCCCTACTGCGCCGAATCTGTGGTGGTCTGATGGGCTCTTTGAGGCGCGCGCGCAAAGCGACGCGCCGCCAGTCGCAGACTCGAACTTTTGGACCTTATACCTCTTTTTATTATAACGACAAATATAAAGAGAGTTTTCATAATCGAAAATCTTATTGGCTTAGTACAACCTAAAACCAATATTTTTCCCCACGAATGATTAGGTTTTAACCGAAAATATAGCCTAGAATATTTTGCTAAATCTAATACATTTCGTGTACCTTCAGAAAAAAAATATTCACAAGTCACGTAGCTTTCAAGTTTATATTGCTACGATTGGTTTTGACAGGATTTAAAAGTACTTTCGGAATGGTCTCACTTTTACTTTAATTTATTCAGGTGAGCCTTTAAATTACTTACAAAACCTCAAAGCTATTTAGTATTCAGCACCTATATTCTATCGAGAGTAACAAGTAAGAAATGTTAAAGAAGCACTTTGATCGGTGGAAATTTGACTTGTAAGGTTTGAAGCCAATATTTTTTTTTATCTTTCAAGACTTAAAAGGTGACGTGCTTAATTTAAAAGAGGTTTTAAGGCAGATGTAAAGTTAAAGAGACTCAATGGATATTGAGAATATGGCGGCACATTTATACAGTGAAGTGTTGACAACACATTTTAATACTGAGTTGAAAGCCCTATTAGTGCTCGCACACAAAACTGCGATGCGACGTCGCATCGCAAAAATGTGTGAGCTCCCTCTACGCATCGCAAGCAAGCACTAGCGAATTGATTCGCAACGCGCATCAAAATCTTATTCGTTTCTTTTTGCTGTATCTCCGAGGCAATAACAGAAGTGCACACTTCTTTTTGTCAGGACCTAGTTTTCAATTTAAAATACGTTTAGTACGGTTTACTTTCGTCGAACCAATGGTCACCCTGGGAGACGCCTCGTTTCAAGAATTCGCATCGTAGTTTTTTGCTTTACGATTTAGCATCGCATCGCATCGCAGTTTTGTGTATGAGCCCTAAAACTTGAATGAATAAATCACATAATTATTTTTTCTTCAAATAAATTTTGCAGACAAGCAATCTATGAATCTTATTTCACTATAGACTACAATGCGCATCTTTCATGTTTTATGAGCTCTAATATGGAAGGACAAAACAGCGTACTGTTTCTCTTCTCCCCCATTCGAGAACGACACATGTAACATATACCGACTGATTTTTTCATGTCAAGTTCGAATTAAATGCAGATTGAATTATTTTCAGCATGTTCGAGCTTCACGTTAAAACTGCTCAACAGGTTTGAACAAAATTAATTTGTCACCAAGCTAGTCCCCGAAGAGGTATCAAATATTTTAGGTATTTCGTGACAGTCACCAAATACGTAAGTAGTACAAAAATGTTGTCTAGTAGATAATTTTATGTATTAGAAAACATTTTATCAACTAACGTTTTATAGCAAATACAAGAGTTACTTAGCTTTAAGTCGTAATATTTTGTAAAACGTGGCAAATAACCGGAAAACTTTTATTCAGTGTATACTATTCTAGACAACAACAATCGTGAGACATCCTAAATTAATTCGAATATAGAGGTATAGCTTGTGCCCGTAACGACTCAAGGTGCCTCGTCTAGTTTCAAACTATGAACAGGGCCCATGACTATAAGCAGAGTGTTTTCGGTTTGTGCGTTAGTCAAATTGTAATTAATTCAGGGCGTACCAATTTCACAGTGCCAATGGAACTACTAGGGCACAAAGAATTTTACTTCGTCAGCCGTCAGCTAGCCAAACAGTTCGGTACTATAGTAATGAAATATTTTCATTACTCCGTGCTCGTTCGACAAACATGTCGACGTGTTCCTTTTACATACGCCATTACAAATACTGCAGGAAACTGTAATCCGATAATTTGAAAGCAATGTTTGTGTGAACCAATATTTGTGTATAACATGTTACCAAAAGTTGTGGTTTTATTTAGTGGAGATCATTATTATGTATTATACTTATTTGAAGACAATCATAAAATGATAATTGTTTCATTTTTGTATGTGATTCTTCGTGGTTATCATGATAAAACTAAGATGTGATCTAGACATCCTTGAACAGATGGTATAAGAATGCAGATAGTAGAACCCATACACTTTATTTTATTATATCTAAGTAAAAATAGAAACATAAAGCCTTCAAAATATCCTTCCTTGCCATTTATTCTTGCCATCAAAATATTACAAATATTTGGTACAGTGCCTTAAGTAATATGAAGTAACTATCAGTTGGAGTTGCAAGCTAGTTGGCTCTTCATACAATATTTAGTTGGAAACTGCTGCTTTTAAGTGCTTACCATTGCTTTTTGACTCAGGGCAAATCTAGTAAACGTAGATAGTATGCTAAATAATATAAATGGAGATTATTTCATTACTTAGTATAAGATTTTCTTGCATCATCAGTGCATTAAGTTCGCCCTCTATTATTTATGATGTAAAATTAATTTAACTGTGTAGCATTTTATTTAAATGGCTTTAATAACAAAATTGTCCAAGGCCTGGGTGAATAGGTTGCTTATGGGACGACGTGCTCCATCGTAGACCGCATCATCGCTTACCACCAGACGAGATAGTGATCAAACGTCGGCTCATCAAATATATATATATAAAAAACATAATGGCTATACGTTAGTTAGTTCCTATGTGACAATAGTTTACCTCAATATCGGTCAATTGAATGAGAATTTCAAAATTTTAATAGGCTGGTCGAATTACTTATAAAAAGTACTCTCAAACCTACAACGTCAATCTCCGACCACTATAAGCGCGGGCCTGCGGACGGCGAGCATGGGTGGCTCCCCGTCCGACCAGAAACAGACCCGAGCGTACAGCGCGTCGCATTCCGCGCGCGCCTCAAAGAGCCATCAGACCGCCACGGACCGCCCAACAGGCGGGCGGGAGCAATCCTTCGATGATTTTCCCCCCTTAAAAAACCTAAAACGTAGTAAATAACTCAATAAGGCAACAACACAATTTCTTCAACTATAAAAAATCTAAATAATCCAACTTCAATCCACTCACAATTGTTTCCGGCCAAAAGATTGTAAAGATAATAAAAACCTTGTTTAACAAACTCGGGAAAAATTGAGTTAACATGAAATACAGGGCTGGCGTCGTGTTGTCTGCCAAATAAATTCCATCAAGATATAGTTTGTTACGCAAAGTTGTCTCGCTTTATCCCAAAATTGTATCACATGAGAACTTCGCCCACAATGTATGTAAACCTTGTTGGTAAATTGAATCACTGATGGCTAGTCAACTTCAAACCTTCGCGGGTTTTAGATTTAAGTGGACGAAGCTTTCGTAGTTAAACTTGTTTTTTTTCTTTCTTAGCGATGAGTGAAATGGATTACGATTTGTTAAAAAAAGTTTTTACAGTTAAGTTCCTTTATAGTTTTGATTACTCCTATACTTAATAAGCTCTTTGGTGCTGATTAAAAACATTGCCATTAGAAGTTATCAAATTGACGCTGTCTCGCTGTCTGTTTGACTTAAAACCATCTTGAAACACAGCAAAATTATATAAAAAAATCCATAATAAAATTATTATATCCATAATAATTGAGAATAATAAAATCTTGAAAGTGTTTTTTCTAAATTGTCGCACGTATATATAAAAGAGAATATTTCAATATGGAAAGGGCCATAGTTCGTGGGTATGTTGTTCCTCGAAAATCTTTTGGCAAACAACCGTTGTTCAATTCAACCGCAGAGGTAATGCTGGATTCAATAAATCCAAACGTTTCATACCAGAAAGAATATGTTGTACGCAATCCTGTACACTGCAGTACTCAAGTGGTATTACCTAAGTCTGAACACGAGGCAAACACTACTATAGTTGAAAAGAGAAACCAAGGTATGAACCATGCTGAGGGCGGTTGGCCTAAAGAGGTTCATCACGACAATGAAGAAGAAACTTTGCGATATCGTCGTCGCATCGAACGTGATGATGCTTACGTACATTCTGTTTTAACTCTTGCTCCTAGATTTGAAAAGTTTATTTATCAAAATAACGCTATAGATATATATGAACAATATTTTGAAGGTATAGAAGAATTATTATCCTTTGAAAAAGCCACTGCTAAATTGAACAACACTTACAGAGATCCAGATTTTCGCCCCGTGGCGGGTCTCGCTTGGACGATTGAAGAAGACCCAAAATTGGTGGTGTCGTACAGTCACAAAGAGTACCCTGTGAACGAACCAGTTAATAAGAAATTCACCTGTTTCCAGTGGGATTTGGAAAATCCACATAACCCAGCTGTTGAGTTTGAACCACCTGCCGCTTGCTGGGATTTAGCCTGTTCACCAACCAATCCTTCGATTGTCTTAGGAGGTCTGGAAGACGGTAGAGTCTGTGTATTTGATTTGTGTGCTCGTGATCGCTGTGTTTCCGTAAGTCCACCACACACATCCCACAGGGCACCAGTAACTGGTCTTCTCTACATTCAGTCACGTCACAATTCTGAGTTTTTTTCTAGCTCAAGTGATGGACTATGCATGTGGCATGATTTGCGAAATCTTTCTAGACCATTAGATATCTTATTTATGTCTGTAAATATTCCTCAAGGAGATAGTATTAGTTATGCTAACACAGAAGGTATAACTTCAATTCATTACGACCGCACTCTTCCTACTAGATTTTTTGCTGGAACTGAATCTGGTCTCGTTATAAACGTGAATCGAAGAGGTAAAACTCAGGAAGAGAAAATGAGCAGCGTATATAATGCACACTTTGGGCCAGTGAGAGCAGTACACCGCAGTCCATGTACCAGTAAAATGTTTCTATCTTGTGGTGATTGGACGACACATGTTTGGAGTGAGGATACAAAATCGAGTCCTATCATATCTGGAGTCATGCATCGTTATCAGATCCTAGATGCAGTGTGGGCACCAGACAGGTATTCTGGTTATATGACTGTATCAGAAGATGGTTACTTTCGATATTGGGACTTATTACGTAGATATCGCGAACCAGTTTTATGCATGCCATTAGCGAGTAATCCAATATTGAAAATTGCGCCTCTTATGGATAGTCGGTTTGTCGCATTTGGAGGTAAATGTGGCAGAGTATTTTTAGTTTCTTTGTCGCATGGTTTATGTTACTCTGATATGCGAGATAAGCATTTAATGTTGGAAACTTTTGAGCGTGAGAATCACCGTGAAGCAATACTTACAGCCCGTATGAAGGAAATTCGTTTAAAATTTAGAACTGAGGATGTATCATTACAAGTCCCTGAGGAGGTATATGATGAAGAAAGTGCAATCAGAGCTGCGGAAGAAGAATACAGGAGGCGAGTAATAGAAGAAACACGTGATTTACATTTACCTGGGTCTAGATTCGAAATGCGTAAACGTTGAATTCGTTGTTTTAACGACATTACATTATTTTTATTTTATTGTGTTAGAAATACTATTATTTTAAGCAATTTATTTATGTTTATTTATTTAAGCAGGTAGTAATTTAAGTTCTTCTTGTGTTACTTAAGGGACACTATAGTATATTTGTTGAACTTTCTACCTCTTGTTTCATTTTATAACATACAGTTTAATGATTATATAATTAGCACCCAACTTTTGGGTGCATTGTAATAAGTTTTGTGATAAATCATAATATTAGTAGAAAAACTTACTTCCTGGAGAATACCTGCAAAATATCATAAAAACCACAACTTTCTTAAAATACGCATTTTTGTTCATGTAAATACATGTATTTATAAAGATTGTATGTATGTGTGTATGTATGTTTATACCTACGTATTTTTTTTTCGCAAACGCAAACACGTCCTCGTATATCGTGCGAGTTATTTCGTAGATAAAGTGAAAATTGCTGGCATTTTCTCACCACGCGAGCCTGAAACAGGCTCATTATACCGGGTCTCTATCGCTAGATGCTCGACATACGACAGCAAGTCAACCTATACCAACCCACCACTTTATTTATGACTTTATTACAAAACAATAAAGGTGAAAATTTAATAGAAAAATGTGGGAGGTTAGAGAGAGAGAGAGAGAGGCGTTCGTACACACTTTGTTATCGCACCTTTCAAAATGCTCACTTGATGCTTCCGAAAATTCGACTAATATTTTACGGCTGATTTCGGAGTTCAGTAATTGGCTGATAACGGTTGCTAATCTCTGTAATCACACCGTCATTAGCGGGCCTATTTGAATTTGAAGTGATTCAAATAGCCTCACAATTTACGAATCACGAGATATTCCAAAACGTTCTATTCTGCTATAAACCTTGTGAATAATATATCTGTTTGATGGGATACATTGGTTTTTTAAAAAAACGAAGTAATTTAGAACAGAATCTCAAATAATAATTGCAATTTATTACCCACATAGTCTTGATAAATGGAATCCAATTGTCTCTGCTAAATGGTTTTGATCGTTCCGCACGTCAGGAACATAAGGGCACGTGAGAGTGCCAGCGCGTGAATCCTCAACATAACCCAATTAAAAGGCCAAGAATGCGGTCACCATAGTTGGAATTACATTGATTTGAACAGCTCCAGACCTCTTCGAGCCTATTGGAATTCCGCTCACTCGTGAATGTGGTCACTAGGATTAATCAAGTAAAAAGGGGCCAGCTATCCACATATTTATTTATTTATACACATTCCCTTAATAAGGTGCCTCAGCATACTTCTAAGCATTGTTCAGGTCAGTAGTTTAATATCAATATAATTACTCGACGGTTGTTATATTGTAAAGGAACGTTTCAGAAAGGCGAGTGTAGGCACTCGGTACCCCATTTGGCTCCTTTGATCGTGTGCCCACGCTAATTTATTCAATTACTGCTTACTCAGCAACTTGGCTTGATATCAAGAAATTGACGATGAAGCGTCTGACTTTCTGATAATTTTATTCAAGTCTCGCTTCACACCACAAACAAGCAAATGCTTTCATTAGAATTTATATTCCAGCATATTACTCTATTAGATTTGGCGGCGGCTTTGTTTGCGTAGGATTAGAGAGTACAATATGGATATCATATTATGTTGTGGAAATGTTATCGTATGAGACTGATCGATTTTGTCCAATAAAATTCAGTCATCGAAGCTTCGTGTAATGGCAGTGTTGGTTAAAATACACCCTCTGGTACTCCAAAAATAGTGAAAAACACGCAACAACGGGCAAGCGATTGTGATCGCGTTCATGCTTTCCCTTTGTCTGCATGAGAAGAATTAATTGACCTGCAATGGCTGAATTATCGGTTGAGTTAACAAAAGCTTCATAGCTTCATATTTTAGGTCACTGTGCGATGACTGTGTCCTCTTATTATTCGTGTACTGAGTCTTAAAGTTTATGTTAGATAGCGAGACGTGGCGCCAGCTCAATAATTATGTAAACCCGTTTATTATGCTTTTTAATAAAAAACAAAGTCTACTTGTATATTTTATTTTATCTTGTTTTTGTACAAGACAGTTATGGAACTATCTTCTACCATTTATCCATATAGGTGGTAATATACTTAGGTATGTTTCGTAACAGCAGTAGCAACAGCTTTCATAATACATATTTCTATCTACCTATCAGTATTAAATCAACCAACGAATTGTTTCGGATCAAAAGCACAACTGTTCAAGTTCCCAATCGGCTTTCAACTACAGTACGTTTTCGAAACCTAAGGCACAGCTTTCAGCACTGCCTATGTAAATCTCTGATCCGATCAGTCACGTCAGGAACATCCCACATTTCTTTGAACGGACGTATTTTCCGATCTAACAGTCGCTTATCTTATCATATCACCCTAGTTTTCGCAAAACAGATTGCAAACCGAGCACTGATCACTATCTTTCCACACACGTAGCTCTAGTACCATACTTAACGTCAAGGAACACGCTTCGAAACCTACTATTACACAAACAACGTATAAATAAATCCCTCGAGTACATAACTTAGTATAAACAGATACATATTACAGTCATACTTGCAGCGAAACAGCGCTGCACGCTGCCAAACTTTAGACGGGAGACTTATCGTTTATTCAAGTAAAGCGCTCGAAGCGCGGCGCAGGTGAGATTAAAACATTCCGAGACACTATTGAACTTTGATGCTTTAAAAGATACATAGTAAACAAGTACTTAGTTTGGGAGCTCGTTAAGACTTCCCTTTGCGTCCGGCCGATGGTCCCTTTTAACGCCGGACCGGACAAATGCTCGCATTTAGCCTCGCCCCTTTTAGACTACACTGTCTTTACTTCGGTACACTTAAAAGGGTTGTGAGGTGGATTATTAGAGACCTTATACCCAGGAAGAGCAACAAGTACATGTATTTTAATCTAATGATAGAATGTTTAATTAATAGCCTCGGAATTGCGAGAATTTAGCATAAAGATTATTTTATGAAATTATATTTTTCGCCAAAAGGTACGTTATCATTGTTTTTGGTTATCTTTTAAATATTTTATCATTTGTATAATTTCCTTTTGCTGGAGGCAGTTTGATCCGAAGGCGTAATTTACAATCAGAATAATATTTTTGGATTTACATTATAATTTAAAAACATATCAATTTTGACCAGTTTAGGTACTATCGTTTTGACCATTTTACATTTCAATAAACGCTCCAATTACATTTCGATAGAGTTTAACTTTGACATTCACGTACCAAATTACGGTTTCAATTACTTTAGTGGTCCTAAATTATTTAGAATTGAGCTACGAACAATTTTGTTATTCCACAATTTTTATAATAACCTAAAATTGGCATACTTATCAATTTTCAGTATTCTGTGGTAGTCCTATCATTTAAGCACTTAATAAATCTGCAAGGCAATATCGGTTTGAATTTACCGGTGTGATAAATTGATATCGAAATTGCTCGTAACTCAATAGATAACGGTGCGGGAAAACGGTAAAATTAATAGCGCGGCCTAATTGCCACTTCTTTTTATTTTGGTGTCTGTGTTTTGAAACGGTTTCGGTGGCCATCTTTGTTATATTTTGTTTACAGATTATGTACCACTTCCACCACTACGCTAGTGGTGATACATTGTGTTAGTAGTTTTGTTTCGTTAATGAAAAAGCACATGGAAAATAAGTTATTCAGTAGAGTTTTGTACCTAATTGGTATTTCAATCATATATGGAAATAATTATTTTGCTTAAAGCATCTGAGTAGCATTTTTTGTTTAAGTTGGATATCGAAATCTTAGTTAAATTTTACAACTTGTAATTTGACTGAGCAGCAAAAACGCTTCCAAGCATAATTTAAAATGCAGCAAGAAAGGTATGTGCTTTCAAGATTACCTTTGACGGATTCTGACATACACATCGAGGAAGATACCAAACAGATTACTAGAAACTAGAATCCCACTGCTGTATGTGGGTAACTGGGTACTCAAGTCTAATATTCGTACTCAAAGGAACAGGTTCTTCTTGATTCTATTAGTGCCATTCCATGTAAACTCTCACCATTTTTAGTTCATAAAGTAACTGATTTAAAAATGGATCTTTTGCAAATATATTTTATGCCATTTATTTTTCCTAAAGACGTTCCTGGATTATTGGATTTTGAACCAATCGTTAGATCAGTCTACGTGATGTATCTTGAAATAATTACGGGATTAACAGATATTAGAAATCGACCGCTGAATTCTAATAGCCAAATATTGATCGTCGTTCCTCTTTTACCTGGCAGTGTACGAAATTCGAACGAAATGAAAGTGTAAAACCGAATCCAGTAAGTGGTATTTGTATTAGGTAGAATTATTTAATCTTCATTTGTTTCAATTTCTCCGACATTTAAATTTAAGAATTTTAACAGAAATATCATTGTTATTTATATTTGCCATGTCGATATCGTACCCGAAAATATAAACAAAAACTGTCATAAAAAATACAGAGTTGTAAAGGTCAACATAATGGTTCGAGTCCATACCTATAGATTCCGGCATCGTCAAGAGTCGACACTTGACCTTACCGTCTCATTCAATTTATAGGCCTCACAGAGGTCAGAGTTGAGGCAAACAATTAATTACCCAAGTATATTTGACATTCTATAAAAGATAATACCATCGTTCTACAATCACGGAACTTTGTGACAATTTAATTGTTAGTTTCTCTTGGAATCCAAATAGAGGAATAAATGAAGGCAGTTTTGGAAAGCGGCCAAAGCTCAAACGAATCCTGTCTCTAAAAGTTTGCATAACATTGACTACAGGAAAATAGCTTCAAATGGGAATTCTATTCATTGTGTTCCAAGTAAGAAACATTCTTTATGAAACTCAACAAAAGGTTATTTTATTTGAGTGCGCAAATATGTCAACGGTAATAAACTGGATGGTGTATTTTCTCTTAATTTTTTTTTCAAACCCTATTGCATAAGGAAATAATAAAAAGCACAATAAAAA